TTTACCTATTTTCAGGAAAAATATGAAATCAAATTGACCAAATTTTAGATTTCATGATGCATTGCATCATTTAGTCAATAGTTGTACAAAAACCATTGTCAGATGGAATATTTTTCTAATTAGGTTTAAGAGTTTAACGTATATTCCACAGGGTGTGAGACACAAGTTTTACGCCATTTGTAATTGTGCCCTGTTGTTGAAGCTCCAAGTCCTCAGATGTTGTTTTCTAACCTTTATTTTAAGCTGCTGTGTCGGGGGAAAAGATGGCTTATGTGTATCTGTCATAACAGGACTAGAATGTCGTCCTCTTTCATGTGGAAGGAAAGACGCTGACATTTGCTTCCAGAGTTTAGGCCTGATCAAAAAACGAGAGGGGAAAGGGAAATGCATGATTTGCATAACCATAGACCCCTGTGAGGAAATGTCAGGGGAACATGTTCGGCTCTATCTTTGAGGTGTCTCTTCCCTGTCAAAAGAATACAGATGGTTATCTTAAATGAATGTGAGCTGTAGTATGAGAATACTGGCAAATCCAGCTAAAACCAGCTTAAGGTGGTAGCTGTAGCATGGTAACTGGTTTCTAACGGGTCCAAGTTGTTTATTAGCTGGTCTAAATGTTTTTATGTGATTGACTAGCTAGAATGCCATTAACCGGCTGGGCCTGTAGACCATCTTGAACTTGAAGGTCTCAACCAGCTTGACCACTTTAACGGCCGGGACACACCAAGCCGACTTCAAAGAACTAGCGGCGACGAAAGCCGACGGTGTTGTCGCCTCACGTCGGCAGAGTCAGACCAAAAAGCTGTGCTCGAACACACCGCACAGACTACAGCCGACAGCAAACTAACACGTGCGTTCTGCTCATGCGTGAGAGGAATTAACTGTCTATATCAGCAGCTATCAATAGTATGTATTCGTCATTCAAAAGGAGAAACCGAAACAAAGATATACGAAACGTAAACAAAGCCGCGCTTGCTTACCATTTTGAATATCAGTAACGTTGATAACGTTAATCATTTTAAGCGGCTCATGTTGTTATGAAAACATTCGCGTAGGCCTATAAGAATGATTGGGAAAGATCACGTAACATTTAAACAGCCTTTTGTCTGTACCGCCTTCATTTACGTGCTTGTTTTAATCACTCACAGACTACAGCCGACGGCAAACTAACACGTGCGTTCTGCGCATGCGTGAGAGGAATTAACTGTCTATATCAGCAGCTATCAATAGTATGTATTCGTCATTCAAAAGGAGAAACCGAAACAAAGATATACGAAACGTAAACAAAGCCGCGCTTGCTTACCATTTTGAATATCAGTAACGTTGATAACGTTAATCATTTTAAGCGGCTCATGTTGTTATGAAAACATTCGCGTAGGCCTATAAGAATGATTGGGAAAGATCACGTAACATTTAAACAGCCTTTTGTCTGTACCGCCTTCATTTACGTGCTTGTTTTAATCACTTTCGCTTTAATTCTCGGGCACTGACTCATTCGCTAAACTGAACATCCAATCAGAGCTTTCACTCGCACCGACGGTCCCGATGGCCCCGACGCCGATTCAACATGTTGAATCGGGCAAACTGCCGCCAACGTGAGCCCGACGAGAGCTGACGAGTGGAACACACCAAACAAACTAGCCCGACCGTCGCTCGCTGTCAGCCCAACGATGGCCAACAGCTGACCGTCGGCTTGGTGTGTCCCGGCCTTAAGAGCCTAGTTAGGCCCTTTACCAAGATAGTCAACCACTTCATCCTTCTCCCTACCTGCTGGTATTCATCTGGTGAACCTCACAAACCAGCTTGGACCATGTTTCAGCTACCATTTAAAGCTGGTTTTATATTTTACAGAATGGTAATGTTCAAACCAGTAGAGTCTGTCCATTATGTCACTGTTGGGTCAGAAGAACTACATCTGCAGTCAGTTAGAGACGTGCTGGAGAGGAACGTATTCACCACTGACTCTTTTAAAGCTGTCTTGAAGTCTGAAACGAGCCTCAGAATTACAGCCGCTCTGAAATATTTGCGTGCATCACTGTAATATTTCACAGGAAGTGCAAAATTATTGAATTACAGTAAGGTTATAGCATTTTTTGTTTAAATTTCAAGAAGCGTCTCCCTTTATCTGCTTGACCTCAGATTTGTTCATGCAAATTTTCCCACAATGTCTCCAGTGTTTAAACCAAATGCATGTTGGAAAGGAAGTATTTGTTCATTTCGTTTAGTACAAAGTGTCTTGAGTTCCAGTGAAATTCAAAATATCTTCAAAACAAGATGAAAAAGCCAAATAGCATTAAATACAAGACTAAATTTAGTGAGATTTATGCCAAAATGAATGGGGGGAAAAAAACATGCACTTAAATTCAAGATGATTTCTCTGAAAATAATCTTACTGTATTATCGATTTTTGATTCTCAGGGTAAATTCAACTTCTTGTAGCAATGCCTAAAATACATATAAAATGTATGTTGAATGCACATTTACAGCTGTTCTGCGAAATATCACAGGTGAAATCCAGTCATTTCAATAGAAATCTCTTGAGGACGAAAAATTTCAAAGTTGATCACATGAATTCACTGCTTAGTCTAGAAGTGATTTCTGTTTGAGCTGTGATTCATACTTCACTACACTAATAGACAATTGACTTTTTTGCCCACACAATTTTGGTAAATGTGACCACACCTTAAGTCGCTTTGAGTAAAAGCATTTTTCCAATGCATTAATGCACATGCAATCTTGTTTTTAGGACCTTTAGTTATATTGTCTGGAAAGCAAGAGAAAGAGACTGACTAGAAACATATTTTTGTTTATTGTATGTGAGTATTGTTTGTTCAAAATGACTGAGCAGTGACATTTAATTCAAATGACTATGTATTTGAAGCGTAGGCTTCCTTTAAAGGGCACAGTGCTGTTGATGAGATGAATCATGGGGCACTTCAAAGGTGTTGATGCCTTATGATTAAATCGTGTTCATTTAGAATCAACTTTACACCTTTTTATTAGTGTGCTTTGGCTATCATTGGCACATGTGCTGACGGTTGAACTGCTTTGATTTGAATTATTGAGAAAATAGTCCAAATGTGAAGGATGTGCTCTCAGCACAGCTGCTGGTTCTCACCAGAGACACTATATATAGCCCAGCACACTAGTCCGAACAACACAAGCAAGCTGGGAAGCATGTGCCCTGTTCGTCTTGCAATCTCACAGAGCCAATACCTGTTGAAACCGCACCATTGCGCAAATTTCTCATGGTTTGGCATTATTATCTCATTATTTGGCGTTGGTTAAAGCACTGGTTAAACCAGAGCATCTCTGGGATTCTCTGTGTGCTGTAGGGAAGATCTTTGCAAATGTGACTTGCTTGCGACGGTTCAGAATTTGCGTAAGAAGCCGTCGAGGCTTGCTCACAGTGGTGGCACATTAGAGCTCTGATTCTGAAAATAAGTCAACAGCTGTTTTACAGCCATGCAAATTAACTCTTCATGTAATTACAGAGAATCCATGTGTGTTTACTTAGCTATACTTGGGGAATGCATTTGTGCCTATATGTTCGCTAATATGACAAAAATTTGGGGATATGTGTGAACGTCCTCATTTAGAAAACGATTCCTAAATAGTAGTGTTGTAGTAGTAGTCAAAATAGTAGTCAAATGATTAATCGCATCCAAAATAAATGTTTTTGTT